GTATAAGCCTATTGGATTTTTAGAGTTTTTTGAAGTGAAAAGAGGCTGATATAATCAGAACAATACTGTACTTTCTCTAACGGTGTAATGAGTTCCAAGACAGTTTGCGGGTAAATTGTGACATATTTCTAGAGGAGACAATGTAGCAATAGAACTGCATGGATTTTTCTGAAACAGCTTCTGACATACAAACAGTATATTGTTCAGCAGTGCATCTGCCTGTAGAAGAAATTCTGTTATGTCTGTGGCTTATAAATGCTAAGAGTTGCAAATCATAATGGGGGGGGGGTGGAGATTAACATAGTTAACTTAAGTTTGCAGCGACTCCTGGTAAGAGCAACCGTTGCACCAGAACTATTTCCTCTGGAATATTTTGTATACAAGTACTTGGATGACATCTTCTGTAACAGCAGCAGCCCCTTAAGAGCAACATAGTACTGGAGCACCAGCATGTAGCTTACTAATAAGTATTGACTAATAAAAAATAAGGTCTCTAAAGACCAAATCCTAGGAGGAAGTGATGCTTGAAGCTCCTATTGAAGATATGAGTGTGTTTTTGATTCAGTGTTGTGGGTAAATGAACACACTGGACAGTTGTTATGAAATTAGAGCAAGGGTATTAGAATTAGAATACTCTGATGTATATATCCAGGGTTATGGGAAAATTTTGGTTTTAATGTCTGAGAAATACAATGTGGGCATGTAGCTGTGGGTTGCCTTTAAAGGGGGCAGCTAATACTGCACTCTTGCATTGAATCTGTACCCTGTTTATGTGCAAATAATAACTTTTCTAATTTACTTATTGTATGAGAAGGGGCAGATCACTACACTAAACTTTCATTTCATAGTGCTATCCATCTTGAAATTGCCTTTCAGACTGAAGGGTCTAGCAAAGAAATCTGTAGCTGAACTTGAAGTACTTAAACTTGAATGCAGCCATTACTTCCACTAAACAATGGGAATGTTGAAAAATGTTCCAAGGCCCTTCCCTAGCCAGAAGGCATTCCTTGAACCAAATATCAAAGCCCTGTTGCAAACAATGATTCCATAGGAACCCCTTAGAGAGAGACTATAGGAGTCTTATATAATGGAAAGTATTAGGCAGCTTAAGTACAGAGACATTATCAGTGCCTCTGTCAGATTACATTTGGCTTTTAGAGATTCCCCTGATTCTTGCATTCCCCACCTCTCAGGCTGAGGGCCTCTCCCCTTTTCCCCCCACCCCCAAGTCTCCTGTGTCATGCCCAAGGATTACAGCAGTTAGGGGAAACAACAGCTTTTTAAAGCTTTTGTGACTTGCCCCTTTCCAGACAGATTTGGAATAGGGCTGTGGAATAGGAAACTCTCCATCTCTCATTCTCTTTCC